TGCTGATGCTGGTGATTATGATGGTGCTGCTGACCATGATGCAGAGTACGATGCTGATGTTGGTGATGATTAAGATGATGGTGGTGGTAGTAGTGGTAGTGGTGGTGGTGATGATGCTAGTGGCGATGGTGGTGATATTGGTGATGGTGGTTGTGGTAACGATGCTGTTGATGATGGTGCTGCTGCTGTTGCTGCTGGTGATGATGATGCTGACAACGATGTTGATGATGACGATGATGATGCTGATGCTGATGATACTGATGATGATGAGGAGGAGGATGAGGAGGAGGAGGAAGAGATGTCGATTGAATCAGCTGAGCGACAGCCCCAGAGAACGAGCAGGGAGGAGGATGACAGGATGAGGACTGGGAGGGGGAAGATGAGGCGTTCGGATGATAAGGCATATATTATGGATCAGCCTCTGGAGATGCTGAGGCGTAGTGATGATGGGGGAGGAGGCGGAGGGCACATGGGATGTATAGGAGGTTGGAGGCCAGAACTGGAGAGAGCAGGGGCAGGATGGGATTGGGAGGCGGACGGGCAGAAGCAAGAGGAGGAGGAGGAGGAGAAGGAGGAGGAGGAGGGAGATGATGATGATGATGATGATGATGCTGATGATGATGATGATGATGATGATGATGATGATGATGATGATGATGATGATGCTGATGCTGATGCTGATGCTGATGCTGATGATGATGATGATGATGATGATGATGATGATGATGATGAGGAGGAGGAGGGAGGAGGAGGAGGAGGAGGAGGAGGACTAGCAAGAGGAGACATACCAGGAGGCATGGGGAGGAAGTGCAGAAGGAAGCTGAGAAACATAGTTAGGAGGGGGAGAAGGAACAGGACGAGGCAGGAGGAGGAGGAGGAGGAGGAGGAGCAGGATGAGCAGGATGATGAGCATGGAGATGGACAAGGATGGGGGATGACGAATGAGGAGATGAAAGAGGATGAGGAGTTGGAGGAGGAGGCGAACGAGGACGAGGAGTTGGAGGAGGAGGAGGAGGAGGAGGAGGAGGAGGAGATGGAGGCAGAGGAGGGAGGGAGGGAAGAGGCAGGAGGAGGGAGGCAGGAGGAAGTGGGCCTGCATCGCCGGGGGGGGGGGGGGCGCAGGAGGGGGAGAGCAGGAGGACACGGACACTCGCGACAGGGAGCGTTGGGGGGCGGGCGCTTCCGCCGCCGCCCGCCAGGCTCGCTTTGTTTCTCTGCGCCGTGCCTGCGGGCGGGCCTCTCGCCGCGGGGAGGCCCGAGGCCTCTGCGACGGGGGCCTCGCGCCAGCGCTGGGGGCCCTCGCTGCCCCGTGGCATCGCTCGGACGTGTGCACCTTTCCTCGGCGAGAAGCCTCGAGGACCGTCCTGGACCATCGAGCCAACAAAAACCCGCACGACACCGAGGAGTGCAACGGGACGTGGACGTCCGAGCGACGGCAAGGCCCTGGATGCCGTCGTGGGCGGCGGCGCTTCTTGGCCCCGGGGCCGTGCCACGGAGGGGTGCGCGGCGCGGCTGCATGTGGGCCCTCACCGCCTCTCGGGGGAGGACAAGGGCACCGATGCTGCTGCCCTTCTCCCTCGCTGTCACCTCCTCGAGCCTCCGGGGCCCTCGTCGCCACCGCTGGATTCGCTTCGAGATCCTGGTCAGAGCGCACCCCGGGAGACGCCTGGGGAGTAGCGGTATCGGTACATGCTGGTTTCCTCAGCCTCACCGCGGTTTTCCGCACAGGAGGGGGTGTCCTATAGGACTCCTTCCGCTCCTTCTCCCGCCCGGGAACGCGCCCCACGAGGGGGGGGAGGAGGCAGGAGGCAGGGGAAGGTGGACGGACGAGGAGGAGGGCACGGTGCGTAAGGGGGATTCGGCCGAGCGGACGTATCGTCGACCACCATTTGCTCGGCCTTGCTGATATTGACGCGTCGGGGGCCACGAGGGTGTTTGCGTCAGCAGCCCTCACCGCATGCCGGGCGGCGGCGGACCGAGGTACAAGATCGAGGTCGATCTGGAGAGGGTGCCCCGATATGCTTCATGTTTTGTGGGAGGCTTTTTTTTCCATCCTGGCCGGGAGCACCCTCGGTCTTCGTACGGGTTGGGGTGTTTGGCCGGGCGGAGGGCGTCATGTTCTTGAAGGATGTGTTCCTGTCTCACAAGGTGGGAGGTGCGCGGGCCTTGCCCTTGTCACCGCCGCCGCCTGGACTACCTGACGTGCCACCGGAGACTGCGCTGAGGGAGACGGCGCCACCTCCATATTGGGATCCAATTCGTATTGCGACGACTTCTTCTTCTCCCTCCTCTGCTTTTTCTTGTTCTTCTTCGACCGATTCGTCAACCACATTGTTAAAACAAACGAGACTCGTCAAACATGAATAACAGTTGTTGTTGCTGGGTGCTCGCGTGGCGGTACTTCAGTGTTGGCATGCGGTATCTGGCCCAGACGCAGGGGTGTCCGAAATCCAGCAGCACCCTCACAGCACTGAAGAGAACGCGTTTTCTGACGAGCGCCCCAATTGTCGAGCGCTTCGATTTTGAACAGCGGTTCAATGTACAGTGCCGTTTTTAATACATGCTCCGCGTGCGGATCATGCATTAAAAGCAGGGGTTTAGTACCAACAGCAACGATGAGTTCATGCATACATTTATTCATAAATTAATCATTATTAAAACCTATATGTTTAAACATCCGATGTTTCAAAAACTGCCCTGTCTTTGTGCCGAGGCTTGTAGAATCGACCGCAGTTCACATCTGCAGCGCTCTTTCGGGCCCCGGGGCCCTCGGCAAGAGACTCGCTGCGGGGGTCAGGACGAGCTCCGGAGGGCCCGCGCCCCCCCCAAGCAGCTGCGGCACGTGCGGGAGGGCCTGGCCCTTCCGGGCTGCCGCAGCCCCCCGCGCTCCTGCGGGGGGAGCGCCCGACGGTCCTCGCGCTGCAGGGATGACTTGGCCTCTCGCTCGGACGTGGGCACATGTTCCCGGCCGGGGCCGTCGAGGAGGATCTTGGATCCTCTCGGGGAAGAGAAAATCTGGACGCCCGAAATGGGCACGGAAAGAATGGGTACAATGCCCAACAGCAGTTCCTGTTCCTTTTGAGCAGGATTCGCGGTCCACGCCGCCGCGGCCCGTGCCCATGCGAGACAGAAGGCCGCCTGCCCAACAGCGGCCGCTGTTGGTTTGGGACAACATTTGTTGTTGGGCATTGTACCCATTTTTTTTCCGTACCCATTTCGGGCGCCCAAAGAAAAGAGGAAGCGCACGCCATCGAACCATGCATGCGGACTGGACGTCCGAGCGATGGCAGGAGGGACGCGTTGCGGGGAGGGGCCTCTCTGCCCAGCCCCGGGCCACACGCGGGCTCCGCGACACGGACCCGAGGCACGGCCGGGAGGCCCGAGCCCCTCCCCGTCCAGGCCTCCTATCGGACGGGGTCCGATTAGGTGGCATCGGCGACGCATCGGGGACGTCGGCGGAGCTTCGGCGACGCCGGCGCGGATCGGGCCGGACATCGCGCCGCATCGGCGAGGCATCGGCGATGCGGCGCGCTCCTCCGACCCCAGCCACTCGCACCCCATCTATTAGAGGCCTATGCTCCTGTCCCCCAGGCGGTCCCTCTTGCCGCGCCTTGAGGCTGCAGCTTCGGGCCGGCTCGGCTGCGAACCGCGAAGGCTCCATCGCGTGCCCCGCCCCCGTTCCTCCGAGAGCCGCGCCGGCCTCGAGCAGTCTGAGCCCCGACGAGGGCGCTGGGCGAGGGTCGGGGCAGGAGGCGACGAGTGTTTTCGTGTCCTCCCAGGGCCCCCCCCCGTTTGGCCCTGGGTCCCTTTGCTGCTGCTGCGGCTTCTCCTCCTCCTCCTCCTCCTCCTCCTCCTCCTCCTCCTCCTCTTTTTCCTCCTCTTTTTCCTGCACCTCCTCCTGCTTGTCACCTGGAGTGTCTCGGGCAAGGCGCGGACTCTATGACTTCTGCGCCCTGCTGGGCGTGGGCCAACCCGAGACCAGGCATGCAGTTTGCGAGCCTCGCGTTTTTCCACATCTGTTGTGTCGTCCAGCCTCGGGCGGCAAGTCGTATACGCTGTTCCTTTCATAGTGCGGCCTGTCAGTTGAGTGCTGACATTTGCCTGTATTCCTTTTCAGTGGCTGGTCAGCTTGAGGATAGGTGGGGCGTTCGTTCGGCGTCCGCGTAGAGAGTCCTCCGATTCCTCTCGACAGCGCGCCCAGGGGGAAGTGAGAGGAGGCATGCCTTCTCAGAAGGCACAAGGGGCCTCCCAGAAGCCCTCCCGCCTTCCGAAACGCCTTCTGCGTCTTCAGGGACTGCTTCGAGACCTTTCCAGTGGGCCCGAGGCGTCTTGGGCCCTCTGAGGAGGACCGCCCCCTCCGACTTCCCCCCCCCGGGCTCGCCGCCGATTCCTCTTCCTCGTCCACGTCCGCACGGAGTGGTAGCAGGGGGACGGCACGGGCAGGCCCGCAGCGTGCTCGAGCGCTGCCCCATCTGTGCCCTCGGAGGGGGCCCGCGCCGAAAACGAAACATCCAGCGACACGTTCGCTCCACGACGGATCTGCTGGTGGCAAAGAGTCGGGAGCCCAGAGGGCCCCGATCGCCGTGGAACAGATAATCACCCAGACATCCTCGCGTTGCGAGCAGATCACGACGGTGGGTTTTGCGCCACTTTCGGCCTCTGGGGGCCCTACCAGGCCCCGGGACCGTCAAACAACGACTCAGGATGAAAAACCCGTCCTGCTGAGCCAGCGTTGCATTGGCCCAGGCTTGGGCGCAGGATCCTGCAGAATCCTGTATAATTTTGCAGAATGCGCATGGTTTCTCGGAGGTCTGAGCTGATTCCTTGGCTCGGCGCTGGACCCCCTCCCTGGCGTGCGGAGCGCGCCAGGAGCGGCGCTGGAGGCGCCGCCGGGGCGTTCCAGCGCCGATCCGAGAAGTATGCCATTATTTGTTCCCCGAGATTCCTGGATCGGCGTCGATCAGGCTGCTTATCCGCCCGATCGGTCGATCGACGAGCTGATGGCGCAGAAGCTGCGGGAGGGCCACGGTTGTCCCGGCAGCTCCCGCGCCGTTCCGCGTCCAGGTTGCTTCGGATAGCTTCAGATGTATTAGATCACCTGCGGGAGCGCGAACATCATCGCGCGTTGCGCGTCGTGGTCTGGGCTGGAGAAGTCCCTTCGCCGGGGCGTCGGCACGAGGGCGCACAGACAATTGCGCATCGCGCAGCGAGGGGCGCGATGCGCGAAGTTGGGTGACCTGGGGGGTACTCTCGGGTGGTCCCATATAGCCTCGAAGACCATGGAACCGCTTAGCATGTGTTCAAAGGAGGGTGCAGAGAAGGGCCTCCAGATGTTCGGCTCGAGGTCGGACCCTCAGTCGTCAGGGTTTAGGGCGCGTTGTGTGCTGGGATGGTTCAGGCCAGCTGGATCGGGATCGTGATTTAGCCATGTATCAGCTCGGGCGAGGGGACTGCTGCTGCTGAGGCCTTGAGATAGAGAGCGCCGTCAACGACATGCTCGGCACCATTGTTGCCTTCGAGCTCTTACCTCGGTTGCTTCCAGATCCGATCGGTGTTGCGCGATCGGGCTCGTGGTGTGCCGTCGTGTCTCTTGCTCAGACCTGGGTGATGCTTTGTCCACGGTTGGCATTGCCCTGTCGATTCTGAGCACACTTGCTGTGTCACCGGCAGTCGGGTGATATTCGCCCATGTTGAGCATGAGTGGAATAAACATGTTGCTTTCATGTACTCCCATGCGTAGGCCACCCACAGGGCAACAGGGGCAGTCCTGCTGCAGGAAAGCCTGCTGGTTCAAACAGTTCCATTTCGCTCGGTGGCATCGTCTCTTGGGGTTAGCGTTGACGCGGGGAAAATAATGACCTTCCATGTGGAATAACATTCTAAACAGCTCTGCATAGTTACTATGGGAGTCTCGATGGGGGGTCACGATGGGGGGCGCACGATCGGGGACCATGATGGAGGGATCGGGAGAGGGGTAAGCAGGGATGTAAAGTAAGGGGTATGGGGCTAGGTATATCGGGATAGGGGTATATAGACAGGGATGGAGGGATAAGGAGCCCGATAGGGATTTAGGATAGGGGTGGAGATAGGGACGGCAATAGATGGCAACGGGAGGCAACGGGGGGCAAGTCTTGGGGCCCTCCGGGGGGGCTCTTTTTGCCCTCCTGGAGGCGCTGTAAGGCCTCTTGTGGCCATCTTGTAGGGCGCCGATCGAGGGAGGAAGACATATCTATATCGCCTCTTCGGGGGGTTTTGGACAGATCTTGTGCGCTCTTGGGGCCGTTTTGGGGCCCTCTTGGGCCCCTCTTGGGGCTCTCTTGGGCCATCTTGGGGCCATCTCGAGGCCCCCACAGGCCAAGCCGATCGGAAGCCATAATGCTCGAATGCACAAAGCATAAACCTTCCATCGGATGTTGATTGATTTTGGCCTCTTGGGGGGTCCCGAGGGGGCGCCGAAAGCACTCGGAACCATCTCGTGGTCCTCGTCGGGCCTCTTGGAGGTATGTCGGAGGCCATCTTGAACCATCTTCGGTCATCTTGAGCCATTTTGGAGGCCAGCTTGGAGCATCGGACGCCCTCTTGGAGCCATCTTGGGCGAGCCAGGACCCTCCGCGGACCCTCTGCCACGCCTCGCGGCCTCCCACGACAACCTCAGGGGGGGATGGGAGGGGGAAGCTACCCAACCCCGAAGGAAAGCGTGCGTGGGAAGAGGAGCGCAAGGTTCCGTTGGACCACCTGCGCCCAAACCCCCCTACTCCTCCTCCCTTCTCCTTCTCCTCCTCCTCCTCCTCCTCCTCCGCCTCCGCCTCCTCCTCCTCCTCCTCCTCCCCCCCTCTTCTTCCTCTTCCTCCTCCTCGTCCTCCTCCTCGTCCTCCTCCTCCTCGTCCCTCCTCCTGCTTTTCCTCCTCCCCCCCTCTTCCTCCTTCTCCTGCTCCTCCTCCTCCTCCTCCTCCTCCACAATTACACAATATGAATACTACTCTCCTCCATCCCCTGATGGCGTGCGGAAGATAGCGGGCACCCCTCCGCGTACTGATTTTTTACACACAGGATTTCCCGGAGTTTGGTTTTCGCTTGGTTTTTTTTTCAAAATGATGCTCTCGCTGAGACGCGGGCTTCATTTTCGGGCTTCCGCTCGTTCCGAATCGTGCTCCCGCTGCAGCGCTGGCCTCATTTCCGTGCTTCCGCTCGTTCCGAATCGTGTTCCCGCTGCAGCGCTGGCCTCATTTCCGCGCTTCCGCTCGTTCCGAATCGTGCTCCCGCTGCAGCGCTGGCGTCATTTCCCGTGCCATGCCACGGCATGCAATGCAATGCTAGGTTGCGTTCCGCTGCGCGATGCCATGCTTTCAGCTGCAGCTGTCATATCCAGTGCGTAAGTGCCACGTCATGCTATGCAATCCTACGCTTTGATCTTCAACGCCATGCTATGCAATGTTATGTTCGGGGCCGCTGTGCGATGCCATGCTCTGCGTTGCAAAGCTTTGTGATGCAATTCTTCACTACGCCACGCCACGCCATGCTGTGACATACTACGCTTTGCGGTGCTCTTCTACGCCATGCCATGCCGTGCTCTACAATGCATCGCGTACCCTTTCGGGATCATTGCCCTGCTCAACATCCGACTGTGCGAGTAGTGAGGGGATCTATGCCATGGTAAGGGATGGGAGGGAGGGGTAGGATGTCAGATATGACGCGAGCGCACCTAGCTTGGTCCTCCTCTCCTCCACAATTACTCAATATGAATACTACTCTCCCTCTTCCCCCGATGGCGGCCTGAAAGTAGCCGATCCCCCCCCCGCGTCCTGCTTTTTTACACACAGGATGCCCGGGAGTTGGGTTTTCGCCTGCATTTTTTCAAAATGCTGCTCTCGCCGAGGCGCCGGCCTCATTTTCGGGCCCCGCTCGTTCCGAATCGTGCTCCCGCTGCAGCGCTGGCCTCATTTCCGTGCTTCCGCTCGTTCCGAATCGTGCTCCCGCTGCAGCGTTGGCCTCATTTCCGCGCTTCCGCCTGTTTCGACTCGTGCTCCCGCTGCAGCGCTGGCGTCATTTCCCGTGCCATTCCACAGCACACGCGCACACACGCACACACACACCACCACCACCACCACCACCACCACCACCACCACCACCACCACCACCACCACCACCACCACCAACCACGCACACACGCACGCACGCACGCACGCGCACCACCACCCACTAGTCCGCGGATAGAGAAAATCAGCGCCATGGTAAGGGATGGGAGGGAGGGGTAGGACGTCAGATATGTCGCGCGCGCACCTAGCTTGCCCTCCTCCCCCTCCCCCTCGCCCCCTCCCCTCCTCCTCCTCCTCCTCCTCCTTTTCCTCCTCCTCAGAGCGATCATCGGAACACCGAGAAGGCGCACGAACACTCGCACGTCAACACACCCCACCCCGCCCACGGACACCCACAACGACCACGACCCCAGCAGAGACGATCCCAGCGATTCCAGCGACCACGACGCATCCAGCAACCCGCCTACCCCGCGTGAAGACACAAGCGACGACCAGACGACGGACGACAGCGAGCTGTGGTCCGATTTCATCCGTCGTAGCACGCGCAGAACCGAAGAGCTAATGAGCATGCACGACATCCCTGGCGTGGAGCAAATACACAGAAAAAAGGTCTGGCGCTGGGCCGGACGAGTAGCACATCACCCACCGAACCGATGGACACAGCGAGCAATGAACTGGAACCCGTGTCTTGACGAGAGTCAGCAGGGCCATAGGAAACATGGTGGTCAACAAAAGCGGTGGGACGACGACATTCGAAACATTTTCAAAAGTTTGCACCAGACCACCAGCGACGCAGCCACACAAGGCAACACCAACGACGCCATTCGCCCATGGCAGTATATCCACTACGACAGCAATGACATAAGATGGTTGACAGCCGCAACGGAGACAACGCGGTGGGACACACCTGAAAGCTTATGTTGCATACACCAGTTGACTGTGACCGGCATCGCCACCAGCAGCGCCACCAGCACCACCAGGTTCCAGCACGACCAGCAGCGCCACCAGCACCAAACGCCACCGAACACCAGCATCGACCACCACGAACCAACACTGAACACCAGCACGTGGCACCGACCAACAACACTGACAGAACACAGGAATCGATCACCAGCATTGACCACAAACAAACAACACCGACCACAAGCACAATCCTGAACTCCGTCTTCCCTGTCTTCTATTTGCGCCGGCTCGTGTACTACTTCGTCCACATATTTTATTTGTGTTGGTTGCTGTCCTTTTCCGACCACACGCTCTATTTGTTCTGGTTCGTGAACTATGTCATCCAGAGTTTCAGCACCCACACGGTCTGAGGCTACGGCCTCTTGCGCCTTGCCCAAAGGGCACGGGCACCCCCGGTGCCTGGAACCGGCGCCTCCGCTCCGCTCCGCTCCGCTCCACTCCTTTTCCTCCTCCTCCTTCTCCTCCTCCCCCTGAGGATCTCCCCCCACGTGCTCGGGGTGACGGAGAGCGAGATCATCAAGGTGAAGGCGCACTACAATTGGTCGATGTACCAGGCGCGGCTTGGCCGCGGCTCCCGCTGAGTAGGAGGTCCCCAGCCTCGGGGGGACCTTCGGGTGCTGCTTGTGTGGTCTTGGAGGTTCGGCGAGGCGTTGGAATTTTCTCGGGGGGGGGGGGGGGGGGAAAGGGGGGGGAAGGGAGGGAGCTAGCAAGGGAGGGAGGGAGAGAGGACGAAGTGCGTCAGCAGCAGCGTGACGCGCAGGACGAGCAGCAGCAGGGAGAGCAGGGGGCTGGAGAGGGGGAGGGGGGCGGCGGAGCAGGAGCAGGAGGTGGACGAGGAGCACTGGGAGAGGTGCGGAGCCAGGGAGAGTAGGATTGGCGAGAGCTGCGCAGGAGGAGCGGCCCAAGCTTCGAGGGAGGACAGGGAGGCGGAACAGCAGGAGCAGGATATTCACGAAGTGCATGGGGAGCAAAGATGGGAGATGATAGTGACTGTGGTTCTGCAGATGATGATGGTGCTGGTGATGGTGATGGTGATGTTGTTGACGATGCTACTGGTGATGATTATGAGCATGATGATGCTGCTGTTGATGATTATGCTCATGGTGATGGTGATGGTGATGTTGTTGGCGGTGATGATGATGATGATGATGATGATGATGATGGTGGTGGTGATGTTGCTGAAATTGAGGATGCTGATTATGATGGTGATTGTGATGGCTGTTGTAATGGTGGGAATGAGGATGAGGATGAGGATGAGGACCATGCTGATGGTGATGCTGAGAATGATGATGGATATAATGATGCTGATGATGATGTTGATGCCGATTATGGTGACGATGATCACGTTGTTGATGGTGATGAGGATGATGGTGATGCCGATGATGGTGATGACGATGATCCTGGGTCGATGTCGGTGATGAGGACGACGGTGCTGATGATAATGATGATTAGGAGCTGGAGGAGGATGAGGTGGAGGTGCAGCAGCATGTGATGGATATGGATCGGAGATGGTGGCACGCCTAGGACGAAGATTGGCGCACAGACAGGAGATGATGCTGACGGTGATGATGTTGATTTTGCTGTTGACGGTGATTATGGCGATGCTCATGATGATGACGATGCAGATGACGATGAGATTGATGCTGCTGAGGATGAATGCGGTTACGATGGCGATGATGGTTATGTTGATGATGCTAATGACGACGACGATGTCGACGATGGGGACGAGGATGAGGATAGGGATGACGATGCTAATGATGATACGGATGATGATGAGGATGATGATGATGATCATGATGATGATGATGATGATGATGATGATGATGATGATGATTCTGATGATGATTATGATGATACTGATGATGATGATGCTGCTGGTGATGATGGTGATGATGAAGACGGTGATGGTAATGATGATTTGGTTGTTGACGATGATGATGCTGACGATGTCGATGATGGGGATGTGGATGAAGATGAGGATGGGAATGGGGATGAGGATGACGATGCTGGTGATACTGCTGGAGGTGGTACTGATATCGACGGCGATGGTGATGATGCTGCGAATGAGGATCTGGATATTGATGATGATCATGATGATGAATTGATAATGAGGATGATCGTGATGGTGATGCTGATGACGATGTTGATGAGAAGGATGCTAATCATGATGATGATGAAGATGATGATGACGATGACGATGGGGATGATGCACATGATGATGCTGATGATGCTGATGATGATGACGACGATGACGATTACGATGCCGATGATGGCGATGATGATGATGAAGGTGATAGGGGATAACGGTGATGACTATGATGATAGTAGTAAGGATGGTGGCAATGATGATGACGATTACGATGATGAGGATCATTTTGAAGATGATGATGGCGATGCAGATGATGATGATGATGATGATGATGCTGATGATGATGATGACTGTGGTGGTGGTGGTGGTGGCGGTGATGCTGATCATGTTGCCGAAGATGACGATGCTTATGCTGACGATGACGATAGCGATGGTTGAGATGATGATAATGTTGATGATGATGACGACGAGGATAAGGATGATGATGACGAGGAGGATTTGGACGGGGGTGAGGATGAAGAGGAGGACCATGAAGATGATGATGATGCTGATGATGATGATGATGATGACCATGATGCTGATGATGATGATGGTGATGATGATGATGATGATGATGCTGTCGATGCTGATGATGACGATGATGATGATGACGATGATGATGATGATGATGATGATGATGATCATGATGATGATGATGATGATGATGATGATGATGATAATGATGATGATGATGATTTGTTTCCAACGACGTCAGAGCCAAAAGGAAGGATATACTTGTGCATATCACCTCGCAGGAAATTTGAGGCTCGTCGCAGAGAGCGGTGACTCTCGAGTGCGGCTCAGAGCGGTGCCACCAGGGTGCTGATCACAGCGAGTGCCAGTCGGCATGGGCGAAGCTATGAATAAAATTCTGCTGCTACGAGATCTTCGGCCTCATAGTCATCGAAAGGCTCGGGGTCGGGAATCTGCGCTGGCAAAATGTGGCCTGACTCCGAGCCTGGCTCGCTGGGGGAGGCGTGTGCAGAGGTCGCTGTCTCTGGGACAGCGCTCGAGGCTGGCAAAAATCCTCCACTCACAAATCTGACGGGCTCTACAGGTTGTCGCTGATCGTCTCCAGCCAATGGCCCACCTCGTCCTCGAGCCAGCCTGCAGGGGCTAACCCCCTTGTGGTGAGTCGCGACTGCCTCTGCCTTCAGCGCCCTCTGGATGAGAGCGCGCCCCTCCCAGCTGGGGGCGCCCACGATGACCTTCATCTTCTGCGTGTCGTAGCAGCTCTCCAGGCGAATGAAGCTGACGGCGACTTCCAGGTCCGATTTGTCGATGTCGGGCTCCGCCTCCGCGTCCCCGGGGGAGCACTTGTGCAGGTAGGTCCGTATCTCGTTCTTGATGCCGCTGCCTATGTCGCACTCCATGAGGCCCTCCAGGGCTGCCAGCGCCAGGCTGGCCGCGGGGGAGCCGATCTGCTTCATCCTCGCCTTGCCCTCCGCGCCCTGCGTCCGCAGGGAGTCGAGCAGGCCCTTGTACCCCTCCAGCTCGGCGCTGATGTGGCTGATCATCACGTGCTTGGACGGCATCGTGTAGGTGTCGATCGCGACTGAAGAGGCCAAGCGGTTCCTGTGGGCCGTCTGGAGAACAAGCTTGAGTGTCGCCTGGAGGAGTGCTAATAGATTTCTGTCCTTCCTGTTCCACGCCTTGATCTGATGCTCGCCGCGGCGGGTGCGACGCCCTCCTCGGCGTCTCGACTTCCTGCGCATCCCCTCGTCCTCGCCCTCGCCCGCCATGGCCGCGTCCTCGACCTCCAAGTCTGCCTCCGCTGCTCCTCGCCGCGGTGGTGGTCGCTGAAGTCGTGGCTTGACCGATGGTGGGGCCCCCGCTGCCTTTGCTGCCGAGCCTTGCCCAGATCCTCGCGAGCCCTGGGAGGAGCCCCAGGGGGTGGCGCCACGCTGCTCGTGCAGGGGCTGCAGGGGCCTTCGCTGGCGGCTGCTCGTTCTCGGTCGTCCTCAGGCTCAGGAGGCGGAGGTGCAGCTGGCGGTGGCGGAAGTGTCGGGGTCGATGCTGCAAATCTGGTCCGCGCCGGCGCGGTGGACGTCGAAATACCTGCTATGAGATGGGCTCTCGAGGGTCCAGCACTGGGTGGTCTCCTTCGCGTGGGGGCCTTCTCTCGTGGTGCGAGCATTCGTCGATCCGTGGCCCGTCGTAGTTCGCGCCTGGCCGCCAGTGTGTCCTGCACCTGCACTGTCCGTGAAAGACGGGGAGGAGGCGGCACAGCGAGAGGCCCACGCGGATGTTGGGTGGTTGTGCTCTCCACCTCTCTGCGCGATACCTTCTTGAGCAGGGAACCCGATGGCGACGGAGGGATGTGGGTGCGTAAATGTTGGCGTAGCTTAGCAGGGTCATGAAATTCGAGTGTACATGCAGTGTCCACTTGATATTCCGATAATGGGCACGTTGTACATGATGAGGGCATCCATGGGTAACTATGATGTGTGAGTTCCGCAATACACCTACCTTGTATCCATGCTCGTCGTAAATGTCGCACAGCGTGGTCTACATTAGGAAATGTGGTATCGCATGCAATGCATTTGTTGCCATACTGTAGAGTGGTTAGTATTTGAGGCTGCCCGTGTCCTTCAGCTTTGCTTTTTGTTTGATGGTTTACAGGCTGTCGTATGGACCCAAACCGCGTATCGCATCCAGGGAGCCCGCATCGAAATGGTCGAACGTACTCGGCATCGCTGTCGGTCTCGGTCTGCTGGGTCTGGGACGGGATGGCCTCAAGAATGCTGTTTCCCTCGGGGGGGGTGGGGGTCCACTGGCACGTCCAGAAGCCTGCGCGAAGCGCTCGTACATCACAATAGAGAAATGCATCGCGAATCCGATCATCACTCCAAAGTTTTTCAATCGTCTGCGGTTGCCACAGCTCTCTCAACGATTCACCAATCGAATGTGAGATGAGGCACTCGAGGTCGCTCGAGAGCTGGCGCGCCCAAGGATGGGCGCGTGCGTCGATCTCGCCCTGCTCGTTGAGGGTCGAGACTGAGACGGGGCGGTTGCTTTTGGCCGCCTGCTTCTCAAACTCACATCTTCCAAAAAAAGCCGCGAGGAACTCGCCGTCGTGGCTGACGCTACCAACAATGCTCTGCCACCAACTGAGACGCCGCACTAAAAGCTCGATAGCGGTTGGGGCCACCTGCCATTCACGAAAGACCTGGAGCGTTGACATGGCATGATGATGCCCCTCTGAGTCCTCGTGATGCGCAGCTCCTTTCAACATGGCCCGTAGCTTTTTTGCTAGCGCACAGTCTAGTCGGTGTACCTCACGGGGGCGTAAGATGTAGCTCTCGAGGCCAGACCAGACGCGGCCCGCGACGTTCGACAGGAACGATCACCTTTTTTTTGTTTTCAAGGCCCCTTGGAGAACCAGTAGTCACCCAATCGAGTCCACCCAATGTTGCCCGAGACGAT